AAAAACCAGTCCATAGATTGCATGGTTTGGCAAGAAATACCAAATGTTTCTTAGAAAATGAAAAGTAAATTTGGTGCTCAGAAAAATTAAATTATATTTGTATATATGGGTGTATATATATTACAATTTTATATAAATGCTTCCATTTTACATATAAACATTGTCTAAATAATACATATAGCTCTGGCTGGCATAGCTCAGTGGGTTGGGCATCATCCTGCAAACTTAAAAGTTGTTTGTTCAATCTCCAGTCAGAGCACATGTTTGGGTTATGGGCTAGACTCTAGTTTAGAGGTTGTGTGAGATGTAACCAATTGATGTTTCTCTCACACATCAATGTTTCTCTCCCTCTCTTTCTCCCTCCCTTCCCCTCTCTCTAAAAAATACATAAATAAATAAATAATAAATAGTATATATAGAATATAGCAAATATTAAAAATAAGGTAAGAGAGTGAGCTTTGGTAATATGTAATTTTAATATTTTTATAATTGCAATATTTATATACTGTATTTATATGTTAAGTTATATGTATATTTAAGTTCACTGTTTTACCTTACCCAAAGAAGTCCCTGTAGACAAAGTACCTTCTGTTTAGTCATCCTATATTTTGAAAAGAGTAAAAACTTAAAATAATTAGCCCTGGCTGGTGTAGCTCAGTGGATTGAGAGCAGGCCTGCGAACTAAGGGATCACAAGTTCAATTCCCAGTCAGGGCACATGCCTGGGTTACAGGCCAGTTCCCAGCAGGGGACGCACGAGAGGCAACCATACATTGATATTTTTCTTCCTCTCTCCTTCCCTTCCCCTCTAAAGATAAATGAATAAGATCTTTTAAAAATTATGTCATCAGATCTGTTTTAATAAGGCTGACTAATGTTACTAAGTATATAACACTGTCTAATACAAAATTATAGTTGAAATGCATTACTAAGAAAAGATGATAACCCCAACTGTAATTTTAGTTTTGTCAGATATAAAAGCTACATATGACTCCTGGCTTACATTTTTCTGGAAATATCGCTCATTATCTATTCATATGTCTCATATAGTCAATGCCTTGTGCCATTGTCATTTTGATAACAATCTGGCCTTTATGAGGCTAAGGTATGAAGACGTAATCTCTTGTAAAACACCTCTTACATTTGGTGTGACATTTTAAATGTAGCCCTAGAGTTAGCTTCTGTCTACTCTCATCAAAGGTGACTTTTTTTTTTCTATTGTACTTGGAGAAATGGGGGTTGTCACCTATCTGCTCCAGAGTCACCCACTTGATGCCTCCATTTCTGCTTCATGAGCTTCTGCTCTGGGCTGCCCCCTGCAGCCATTTGCCCTCCGTGTGACACTGCTGTCATTGAACATTATAGGATGATCTGGGCTGGGCCACACTCCCTGCGGTGGCCTACCTTCCATTCCCCTAGAACAGCAGGTGAGAATGTGTTTAAGATTTTATTGCCCAGGTGGGGAGAACTCAGTGTCATTACGGGTAGAAAATACTTTTAACTGGATGTTAAATATTGTTCTTGTCATAGTCCAAACGAAAAGAACTAAGGACATTAAGCATTTCATTGATGATGACAGTGGGGTCTTTTTGAAGGCACATCCCAGTTTTCAGCATTGTTTCCAGGTGCACTGTCCTCTGTCCCTTCCAGAGAGAAAGAGAGAGCCCCCTTCTTTAGATTTGTTTGGTATACGATTTTCACTGTAGGGAAACCTCACCCCTCACCCTCCAGGGTTAGCCTCTGCCAGGGCATCTCACGTTCTAAGGCGGATACTCCTTGGGCCCCTCCCAGGTCCTCTTGGATCCCATTTACAGTTTCTAGGTGTTCCTCCCCTGGCTTCTGTGTGCTCTTGCTTCTAATGGTCTACAACTCTTTTTGTAAAACTACTCTTAGGCTATTGGAACTGCTTTGAAGAGCCAGAAAGAGCGAGGCACAGACAAGGGCAGGAGTGTGAAAAGCCAGCTTCCTGTTAACTATAGTCACCATGTTGTGTATTACATCCTAAGTACTTATTTATCTTCTAACTGGAACTTTGTACCTTTTGACCACCTTCCTCCAATCCTCTCTCCCTCCACCCCTTGCCTCTGGTAACCACAAATCTCATTTCTTTTTCTATAAGTTTGTGGGTGGCTTTTTTTTTTGGAGGGAGGGAGGGTTTAGATTTCACAGTAACTGAGACTATATGGTATTTATTTTTCTCTGTCTGACTTTTTTCACCTATCATAGCCCTCAGGGTCCACTCATGTTATTGCAAATGGTAGGATTTCCTTCTTGTTTCAGGAGATCAACTGTCCCTGGACATCACAATTTTGCTCAGAAAGCTGAGGGTTAAAAGTGTAGTAATCATTTCCCAACTGCTCTGGGACTTGCAGAGGCAGGAACTTGTAGAGGGCTCATTCCAACGGCCAGAGCAGTGGTCAAGTGGTATTACCCTTGTGTCTCCTTCATGTGGGACAACAAGATGAGGCCCAGGAACACTCCAAGGACTAGACACAAGCAAATCTTTCTTTGACATGGTGCAGTGGCCAAACGGATAACAGGGGGCAGTAACCACAGGTGGTGGGAATGAGTCGGAGCAGGTAGCCATAATCAAGGTGAATGAAAGGAAGACACAGAGCCCCTGATGCATATCAAGTAAACTAGACAAAACACTAAATTGTAGAAGCAGGCCTATCTCATACTCATTCATTCATTTGTTACTCATTCACTCAGGAAATATTTATTGATCATCTGGGATGTGCTACCCGTTGGGTAAGAATAAAGCTTATACTATAGCGGAGGAAATAGACATCAAATAAATAACTATGAGGACCACTATGGGAAAATAGTTAATAGAATGGGGTCAAACTATTGGGGTTCCAGTTCCACCTCTGCCACTTGCTGGTGTGTGATTCTAAGAAAGTGAGAACAAGCCCAGGCCCAGCCTTCCTCCTGTGCCACGCATGCTCAGAAGCCAGAAAGGCTAGTCTGCAGGCCAGGAGCAGCCGACAGAAGTCGTGGACTTCTTTCACTTTTAGGATGATAACCTGACTCAACACAGGTCCCCTGTGCCACTTCTCATCCAACAAAATGCCTACTTCTGAGCAACAAGAAAGCAGAGCTTTGCCCTCCCAGTTAGCTTCTCCAGCTCACAGACTACTGTTACAGGCTGACCCTTTCTCAGACCCAACACTCAGCAAATTCCTGCAGACACAAGGCAAACAGGATCCTGGTGGGGGAGCCTGGTTGGCCTGCAAGTCTGGTCCAAAGCTAAGCTCACATGTTCAAGTGGGAAGAATAAGGCAGTGCTTTGAGTGAGAGTCAGAGCTCATGTCCACCTCATTAATTCAGGCTTTATTAAAGTCAGATATTTTGATTATTGGATAGCAAACTAGACTTAGCTATCCAGTCTTATGCTTCGCCTAAATTGGGGCAGGTAGAAGGGAAGAAAGAGAGACAGGGAAAGATGCTGAAAAGAATTCAGAAACTAAACCGATTTGGTTCAGTGCCCCCCTTGTGGGGACACTCCACAAGTACACTCCGCAAGTGTACATTTGCTCAAAGACAATTCATAGGCCAAGAGAAAACTGCTCTTGGTGTTTCCCAGACCAGGGTTGTCTTTAAGGAACTTTTAGTCAAGGAGATTTTAATCCTAGTGCAATAAACTGCATCTACTATGTGGATACTTATCATAATTGCTATCCGTTAAAAGAGCACATTTATGTTATATCAGTCTGTAATTCAGGAGTCTCACCAAACTGTCTTAACCTCTTCTCATTTGTGAGACTTCACTACAAACATCATTCTATCATTAGGTCTATATCTCAATGTCAAGAGATTCTCTTGAAAACCTGTCCAAAAAGGCTGGCAGGCTTCAAAGCAATAGAAGTTATGGAAATCAATGTCCCATAACGTATCTAAGACTCTGTCTCAGTCCAAATCCATCCTTAGGCCTGTAGCTATGGTCTGGACTTAGAGCATTCAATTAACTTTCTGCCATGGCCTGGAACAATAGTTCTCAACCCCTTCAGATGCAAATCACCTTCTCACTAAATACTTTAATCCTGAGCTGTAATTCATAGGCAATATAATTTACCTACCACACACTGTTACCAATTACAAGATGCCCTTATGTAATACATAGGGAGCTAACAGGTCAGTACTGTATAAGAACGCTATGCTCCTCGCACATGTACGAGTCTCTGAAAACCAGTAGGCGGCAGATCGCTGGAAGAGTCAATGAAGAATTGCGATGCCCGCACCAAAGCCCCCACATATGCAAAAGCCACACGTGTGGACACTTTGGAGTGTGTTAAATTGGCGGGCACTGGGAGCAGCCCTGCCACTGGTGACAAGAAAGTCCAAGAACAGTGAACAATCCCTGATGGAGGGCTGGCAGAGAAAAGAGACGACCCCTTTCCGTGACTCTCCCAGCAATTGCATTCCGGAACAAATGAGTGTGTAGCAAAACCGTACCAGACCAGTGTGCACCAGACCAGTGTGCACTTTCTCGTTGGTGGCTTCTGCTTTGGTGTGCATGCTTTTCGTGGTAAAGGCAAGGAAAGGACCCCTCCTGGTCCTGTTCTCCGGCAAAAGTGTGGGCACCAGACCAGAAAGTGTGGAGAGTGAGGTCCTCGGAAAAGGGCCACGCGCCCCCTAGAGGTGGCAGCAGGAGACAATGGGATGAAGGCTGGCGCAAGCCGCCCATGCAGTAGAGTGCGTCAGAGCACACAGGTGGCTGGGAGAATCTGTCCAGCTCAGCCTGCCGTCCTCGAGGCATTGCGAGGCGGCGGCCTCTGCAGGGCTCGTGCATGTAAAGGCGACCCCCAAGTCGTAAGTATTTTATGCAGTACTTTCGGGGTGGCGGGTTTCGCGGTTTCCATTTTGCAGTAAGGCTCGTGGCTCCATGGTGGAGACGTGGCTTTTGCAAAAGGATACATTGACATTAAAGGCAGTATTCACTCCGTGCATCAGCGCACTTACATTTTTTCCCTTCTTTTAGTGCCGCCATTTTATGCCACCATGGAAAAAGCTTTAGAACGAGCTTTGGATCGTGCAGAGTGTGTCATTGAAAGTGTGCAGGAGAGTGTCCTTAAACGCAAACGGTCATCCAGTGGGGGAAAATCTCTCCATGACAAACTGTATGACCTCTATGTCGAAGAATGTGGAAAAGAGCCTGAGGTTACAGAGGAATTAATAAGCAATGTGAACTTGTTAGAAAAGCTTGTTCAGAGGGAGTCCTTGTCCTGTTTGGTGGTCAACCTGTACCCAGGAAAGGAGGGCTATTCGCTGATGCTCAAGGGACCAAGTGAACCACATTCAGAGACCATTCGACTGCCTTATGAAGAAAGGGCATTTCTAGAATACCTAGATGCAGAGGAATTGCCTCCTGTATTGGTGGATCTCCTGGAAAAGTCCGAGCTGAACATTTTTCACAGTGGGTGTGTCATAGCAGAAGTTCGGGACTATAGGCAGGGCAGTAATGCGGTGCCCCCTGGTTACCAGAGCAGGCACGTCCTCCTCCGCCCAACGATGCAGACGTTGGCCTGCGATGTACAGTCCATAAGCAGTGATAACCAGGAATGGACCCAGGAAGACAAACTGTTACTTGAGAGCCAGCTGATCTTAGCTACAGCTGAACCCCTGTGTCTTGATCCTTCTGTATCAGTAGCCTGCATTGCAAACAGGCTGCTCTATAACAGGCAAAAGATGAACACTCCGGCGATGAGAAGGAACTTCAAGAAGTATTCCACAGCCTCCCTGAATGTGCAGCAGGAGCCATCTTGTAGTCTGGACCCTCACAACAAAAGGGAGGGCAGTCAAGCAGCGCAGCAGGATAACCTCAAAATTTCCAAGGCAGGAAAAGGTGTGGATATGTGGAACCAGAGACCCTGTGACTTGGCAGTCCCTTCTGAGGTGGATGTAGAGAAATATGCTACAGAGGAGAGGTCTGTCAAATACGATGACTCACCACTAAAAGTTTGGCCAGCCTCTGGGGTAAATGATGATATTTCTCTATTTGGATGTGAAGCTGGTGATCAGTCCCAGACAACAGAGCTGACCTTCATGAACTCTCTTAATGATCCATTTATCTCAGGAACAGGAAGGTCACCTAAAAAACCCAGATGTGGGAAACATGTGTTTCCCTACCAGTCCTCCACAGGTGACCACTGCTATAGTTTGATGCCTGAGTCTAACATTGACACTGGGGAAACAGACACTCTGTTTGAGGAACTGGAGCCACTGAGCTCTGAATGTGCCTTCCATGTGACACAGGGCTCCAGCGGCTCAGGCCCTCTGAGCCAGCTTCCTCTGCAGAAAGAAGCAGCACAGCCTCTGGCCACGTCAGTCCAGTCTTCAGTACCTGGGGAGGGAGTGCAGTGCGTCCCTCCACCCATCAGCCTCCTCTCCAGCTCAGGAAAGAGTGCCTCAGGTAATAACAGTTTCACTCCCCAGCAGGCAAGCCGCATTCGCCTTCTTAAAATGCCATCTCCTATCCCTGCTTCAAAGCCACCGAGTCTTCTTCAGAAATCCTCTGTGGAAGTGAACCGTGTTAGCACACTTCCTACAGCCACCCTGTGTGCTGCCAGCTCAGCACAAACAATTCCTGCCAGCCAGGTCAAGGCCAAGTCTGCTGGCTCCAACATCATCAAATTGGCAGGCCCTTTTCCTGCAGGGACCGTGGTGAGAGTTTCTAAACCCATGAAGGGCTCTACTGCCAGGGCCAAGGCTCCTGTAGCAATTAGGCCTAGCCTGCTGTCCTCAAGAACCCAGCCACCAAGTATACGACCCATTGTGCCACAGGCTGCTTCTCAAGGAAGAGTTCAGTATAATATAGACCTTTCAAAATTTAGGCCTGTTGGTGTACTCTGGGTTCCACATGGTGTCGACATTTGGCAAACCCAGGAACCACAGCAGCTGCTTTGCCATTTGATTCCACCACCACAGCTTCAGCAGCCCCCCACTTCTCAGCAGCCAATGTTGCAGAGTTCAAGTGTACAAGGTTCAGCCAATCAGCAAACAGCCTCATCTGCTCACCTAACCACTGTCATTAACCGCAACCGGGTTGGAAGCGTTCTGCAGCCCCAGATCGTGGTGCGGTCTCAGCCCGTGGTGCGGTCTCAGCCCATGATGCAGTCTCAGCCCGTGGTGCGGTCTCAGCCCGTGGTGCGGTCTCAGCCCGTGGTGCGGTCTCAGCCCATGATGCAGTCTCAGCCCGTGGTGCGGTCTCAGCCCGTGGTGCGGTCTCAGCCTGTGGTGCAGTCTCAGCGCATGGTGCAGTCTCAGCCCAACTCTGCCCAGACAGGGACTGGGCAGAACCGCCCTCAGCACATGGTTCAGCTCTCTGCTGCCTTCCAGCAGCAGCAGCCGCCGCCGCCGCAGCCCCAGCAGGTAAGGCTCAGAATCTTGCCCCCCCCCAGTGGCAACAGCGGCCCAAATAGCTCAGCAGGGTGGGCGCCAGCAGAGAGCAGGCCAGGACAAAGGCAAACAGAATGGAGGCCTACCCCGCACTCCCAAATCCTGAGTCTTGCACCGTGTCCTCTCTTTTGAAAAACACGAGGGCATCGACCCAAAGCAATGGAGTTGTTGCTCCGTTCTGCGTTATTTTAGTGTGTCAGCACTTCAGTTGTTAGACGTGTAAACTTTATTCAGAAGCACAACCCCGTGATTTTCCATAGAAACAAGAAGGTGTTTAATAACCTGAGATTGTTTGGCTTATGCCATGGTTTTGGTTGCTGTTGTTAACACAGTGATTTCTATTTTAGTGTTCTGCAGTGTATCAAATCCACACTAGGCTCAGTTGAAACTCCTGAAGCCTATTGTTTCCCTGAAACAATAAATCTGCAATACCGATAAAGTTAAAATTACATTAATTGAGCAAGATGAATGGTTTTGAAAAATGTTGCCGAGTTACATGAGCACATCACATAAAATGCACTATCTGAACCCCTTTCGAGTTGCCTGGTGTACACACCAGGTCTCTAGAGCGGTTTTCATCTTGCAACAGAGAAGCTGCACTCAGTGAGCACCAGCTGCCCATCTTGCTCTTTCCCCAGAGCCTGGCAGGCAGCAGGCTCCTTTCTGCTCCTCTGAGTCAGACTGCTTTAGGCACTTGGTGTGTGTGCAGTGATGCAGTTGTGGTCGGTTTGCGGTTGGCCTCTTTCACTTAGCATGATACCCTGCAGGTCACCCATGCTAACATGTGACAAGAAGGTCCCAGCCTTTTTGATGGTTTTATACTACATGATGTGTGCTGCAGTGACCTGTGAAATATTGGAAACCTCTTTGAGAAGGAGGTAGTTTTGGTATTTGATTCTTCAGTTCAGTAGGCTTTAGGCAGTGTATGAGAATCAATTTTTACAAATTTGTTTGGACAAATGTTAAAACTAACAAACATGATGCTTTTCACACCTGCAGTGAGGACATGGGAGACCTCGAAGTGTGCAGAACGGCTCCGGGCAGACCTGCGGGCCAGGGCCGTGGTCCCAGGTGGCAGACAAGGCCTGGAAGAGGCACTTCTGGGATGTCTTGTGTTCTCTCGTTATGAAACCATTTCTACTTTTAGAACTCTAGCGTATTTGTAGAAAAGTAAACAGCTAAATGTTTGGAAATGAGTTTTATTTGTCTGTCTTTCAAGTGTTTGCAGCCTCTTAGATTCTGAAGCAGAACCCCCACCCCTTTCCTTTGCCATCCTCTCCTTCCCCAGCCCCAGAAGCCTCCTGTTGGCCTTTGTCTGGATGGGCATCCCTATTCTAGACATTTCCTACAGGTGGAACCACACCGTATGTGGCCATTTCTGTCTGGCCTGTTTTCCTTGACACGATGGTTTTAAGGTTCATCCATGTTGTAACATGTATTAGTACTTGATTCCTTTTTATGTCCGAGTAATAGCCCATTGTTCGAATGTGCCACATTTGTTTATTAATTCTCCAAGAGCGTGCATTTTAGTCGCTCCTACCTGTTAGTGTAATGTTACTGTCAACTTTTCTGTACAGGTATTTGTTTTTGTGTCTCATATTTTGCTATGTTACAATTTCGAAGGGCACCCTGTTCGCATAAGGTTTGTTTTTCTGAGTACACATGTATGTTTCTATGCCTTTTTCCCTGACGAGAAAAAGAACTTTGGTCCGGCAGTTCCAAAAGAGATGAGTGAAGGGACAGGTGACTGGTGAGTCTTACTTGATGAAGTCAGCTGTCCTCATGTGCTACTGATCCCACTAAGGCAAGATTTGTGATGACTTCAAACAAACTGCTCACATATGCCCTCTGAGGAGCACTGAGTGTGTCTGAGCCCCGGACACCCACTTGGACCTCTTGGGAATGGTTCCCACACTTGCACGAAGTGAACCAGTGCAATGATCAATTGCGAAGAAGCGTTCACTCTCGGCCTTGGGAACCAACCAGAGACCTGAACTCAGATTCTCGCCAGATTTGATGTACTTCCCCCCTTTTACTGACCTTGTTCTATGTAGAGTGATGTGGTACTCCCTTCCCTGGCAAGCAAATAAAGTTAGCTTTGTTTCCAATAACCTTTTGTGGCCTCTTTTTATATCTTTCTAAGGATTCCCACCAGAGTTGGTACTTGGTACAAGGTCCTTTGTGATGCTGTTAACTAGCCATGTTGTAGAATTGAACTTCTCCCTCATTTTAGTGTCGTGAGAACCTGGAGGCTTTTCCCGACCCCCGGTCAAGTCCATACACTTTGTCTTTGCTTGGTTTTGTGCAGCCTGCATTTCATGACCTGGTGTTTGACCAGTCATAGTGAGGAAGTTTTGGGAAAGCAGGTGGCCACAGAATGCTGCAACAGATGCCAGCAAAGGAGGTTCAGCAGATGGGCATCCAGGAAAACCCTTGTGGGCCCAGCACAGCAGGACACACCTGGTAGCATCGCAGTCTCTGTCATAGGATGACAGTTCGGGAACAGAATTATATTCCTGAGGATACCTGCAAGTGAAGGGAGGACGCTAGTTGTAGGTTAGCGCTGTCCAATAGAAATATGTGAGCCCCATTTATTATTATTTTGAGTTTTCCTGTAGTCACATTTTAATAAGTAAAAGGAAAGAAGAGAAATTCCCCTTAATAATGTATTTAACCCAATATAGACACACTTCAGAGATGTTGTAGGTTTGGTTCCAGACCACCCAGATAAAGCACGTATTGCAATAAAGCAAGTCGCACAAAATTGTTTGGTTTCCCAGTGTACATATAAGTTATGTTTACACTATTCTGTAGCCTACTAAGTGTGCAATAGCATTGTGTGTAAAAAAAAAGCTATGTACGTGTTAATTAGAAATACTTTGTTGCTAAACAATGCTCACCATCATCTGAGACTTCAGCAAAGTTGTGACCTTTTTGATGGTAGAGGGTCTTATGATAAATCAAACCAGGTATGCCTGTTTATCCAAGATGACTGTTTCTGTTTGTAATCAGTATTTGAAAGATTTTTAATGGGGTATTTCACATTGTTTTATTTTTACTCAATCTTCACTATCCAGACACTTATAGCCTATCTTAACTCAGGTGTGAGATTTTCATCAGAAATACTTGATATGAGTTTAGATTTTAATAAAACATACAGTTGAAAATGTAGATTCATCTTACAAACATTCTTAGACATTTTCTGATAATCTAATCAACTATCGGTTTTGGAATTTAAATTAATTAGGTAAAAATCAGTTCCTCAGTCTCGCTAGCCATGTTTCAGGTGATGCATAGCTGTATATGACTGTGGCGCTGGACAGTGAATTTCTAAAGTGATGAAGGACCAAAGCAGATCCGAGGAGTGCCTCAGGCATGAGGTGGGTACCACTTATTGAGATGAAGTGGGCGCCGATCATCAGAACACATCGTGGGAGTGGGAGTGAGGATGTGTGATGAAGTGATTCCATGTGCTAAGCTGTACCTCCCAGAAATCCTCACAGTTTGTGGTCGTCTGGGCCCGGGCCTAGGCCTGCAGGTAGACAGACGGTAAGTGGCCCTTGCCATGGAGCCAGGAGAGTGGTAGAGGCTGGAAAACGAGGGGCAGCCGGGCTCTTCCCTGCCCTGTGCAAAACATCTAATTAGAGGGCACTAACCGTTCCAGCAGTGAATTGAAACTCAGCCATCCCACCTGGACCCCCAGGAGCACGGAACCTGAGGGAATGCAGGACAGGAGATGCGCCGCCTGTCCTTTCCTTCTTTGTTTTCCTCCTCCCTGTCCATTTTCTGGGTTTCTAAGTCCTCGGCACAGAGAAAGCAGACCAGCTATGAGGTGATAATGTAGGAACTGGGTGATGGGTACAAGGAGGCTCATTATATTATTCTCTCTGCTTTGGCATCTATTTGTCATTGGATACACACACACACACACACACACACACAGGGCCTGGCAGAAATAAGGCCTGCTCGAGTGTGGTTGGTGGGGTAATAATATGGGTGTGATCATTTATAGTTTTAGTGTGAACACTTCACCTAAAATGTCATACGATGTGCTTGAGTGTGATATTGTTATGTTACAGAATTACATGCTTATGAGTTTGTTATAAAAGATTTTGTAGTAAAAAGGGATGGTATGCCCTGGCTGGTGTCGCTCAGTGATTGAGCGCGGGCCTGCAAACCCCAAGTGTCGCTGGTTCTATTCCCAGTCAGGGCACGTGCCTGGGTTGTGGGCCAGGTCCCCAGTTGGGGGCATGTGAGAGGCAACCACACCTTGATGTTTCTCTCCCTTTCTTTCTCCCACCCTTTCCTTCTGTCTAAAAATGAATAAAAAAATCTTTTTTTAAAAAGGGGGTGTTATTTGTGCCGGATCCTGTATACCCACATACACTTTATATATCTACTTTGGCATATATTTGTAATTGGCTACACACACACACACTTTATGTATCTACTTTGCCATATATTTGCGTGTCAATTTGAACGGTCAAGTTCCTGGTGTTCCTGCAGCCCCACTAAACACCTTCCCCACCCCAACTGGCATCGTGCGCCTGAAGTCCCACCAGGCCCAGGCCCTGGGCTCGCTCGCCCTTCCGCCTTCCCTGCTTCACTCCCATCACTGCAGGCAGCAAAGGGTGTGCGAGTTAATTGTTAAATTCAGTTCAACAAGTTCCTCATTAGGGACAAATTACCTGAGTTTGAAATCTGCTAATTTTCCAATCAGAGTGAGTGTTTGCACTTGTGATTTGGAAATAATTACCATATGGTAAAAGCAAAACCTATGTGGGGATTAAAGTAAAGGTGAGGGAGGACAGGAGCTTATTTTGGCATCTTCCATGGAAACTCCTGTGAGCATATGCAAATGAGTTGCGGTGCCTCTGGGGTTGGGGTGGGGAAAGCTCACCTGCAGCACTATTTTGCAGACTGTTGACGTCATGTACTAATGTCCCACCCAGAAGGGTGACCTTAGCCTTCAA